ATTTTTACCAGCGAATCCTCTCCAGGAATACGCTTCGCACTCCTCCAGCCTCCCCCCAAGGGAAGGGAGCCAAAGCCCGACCATCAAGACAGTCTCTGCTTTGAATAGGGGCTGGGTCATTTAATGCTTTACAGATGGCAAACAGCACCTTGGGTTTCACTGGGAGATGGGCTGGAAGATGCTGCCACGTCATGCCACGGCCAGGCTCAGCTCCATCCACCCTCCGGAGTCACCCAGCACCTGGTGAGGACCCAACCTGCTTCTCCTCAGAGACTTCTCCTGCACATTCCGGCTCTCCAGGATGGATCAACTGCCCCCTTAACCTGGCCAGACTGCAGTACGGGCCAACAACACCAGCTTCTTGGTTCTCCTCAAGGTCTTACCTATGCATAAAACATCCTGAAAAAGAGACCAAATGTACTGATCTGCTCTTCCAGCACCTGCTTAAAAAGTTGCGCTCAACTTTCCCCAATTCAGTACTTTTTGGGTTCTCTTGCCTTCCCCTGAAACACATTTTTTTTTTTTCTTTTGGTTGTTATTCTGAATCCATTTCTGAAATGACAACTCTGAAAGACTTGAGTCAGTGCCTTTTGTAATTGCAACTAAAAAAAGAGCAGGTGAAATATCTGCAGGGAAGCTTGATGGAGCAAAAAGAGCATCGGCACAATAGCAGGTGTCAGTCTGCCAAAGTATTTCTGGAAAAGGGAAAATCACAGAGTGTTCGTGTGAGAGACGTTTTGATTATAATTCCCCCCCACAATGACGGTGCAGTTACAGCTAAGAGTTATTCAAAGGTATTAAATATGGTCATTGCCAAAAAAATAGAAGGAAAGAAAATGTAAGACGGACCAGCATCTTCTCTCAGGTGAGGTGCTGGGGCACCAGTTGTCCATTTGTGTAAGATAATCATGTTGTATTCATGAAATGCTGTATCTAACGAGCCTACAAAAGTGGCTGGGGTTTGCCACTGCTGGATGTTCACTTCGAAGCTTTTATCTGCTTTTTTCCAGATGACATGCAAGACTTCTCTGTCTTTGGGCTCCTCTTTCAGGTGCTAAATCCCCTTTTTTTTCACTTGGCAGTTCCCTGCCGAACCGCAGCCCTCTGATTGCTGCTGGTCGGCGTGGCGCAGGAAGGCTTCCCCTCTCTTTGCACAGGATTTCTTTTAAAAATGTGATTTTAAAGGAAAAAAAGAAAAAGGCACAATCACAAAGAGAAGCCAGTGGAATAAAAAACGGGGTTACATGTGCAGAGAATACCCTCAAAGACCTGCTCGGTCCATCCTTCCGGAGACATCTGTGATGATGAACCTTCCCCGGGTGCTCCTGAAGTTTGGGAGCACTTCAGAGGAGCAGTTGGGGAGGAGCAGGTCTCATGGGGTTTTCCCCACGGGGGAGCAAAGCCCAGCTGGCCCAGAGGGTTGAGAGGAGCCCCTTTTTTTGCCCGCTTCCCCTGGAATTGAATGGAATTCCCACTGGAATTGAATCATGGGTGGAGAAAATTAGAGAAGAGCCAGCTGCATCCTGCTCTTCTCCTGGCTTGCAAGACGTGGATAACTTCATTTCACCCAGCCACACTTGGAGATGCAGGTTGGCTTCCCAGGTCCAGAGCTGCACTTTTGCCCCCAGTCCAGTCCCAGTATAACCCATCAGAGATGGGGCTTCCCAGCAGACTCCAAAGGATGCTACTCTATCTCTGTGCCCCACAAAAATCACCTAAACCTGCAAATCTACGGGGCTGCGTGGTCTACGTTGCTCCGAAAAACTGAAAAGTTTTTCTTCTTTTGCCCATTGGACAGGCTTCAAGGCTCCAAGTGAAGCCATTTTAGCTGCTCCCCAGCTCTTTTAGGAGTTTTCCAGCCAAAGCAGCCTCACACTGTGCTCCAGGCAGTGGGAGAGAAAAGAAACCTGAGCACAGATCAAAACCAAAAAGCAAACAAACCAAAATAATCAAAACAAAACAATCCCCCCCAAACCTGGAGCCATTTTAGGCTTTCTACTAAATGAAGACAAATAAGTGTAAAGAGGATGAACACAAACCTTTGAGGGGAGAATCTCTTTCACTTTTTGGAGTGAAATCTCTCCAAAGTAGCTTTGCTTCCCCACACAGCTTCAGTGAGCCGTGGGTCCAGTGAAGTCCTCTCCAAAGCAGTCTCTTCTATTGCCTCCAAAACCATAAATGACTTTTTCCTGAACACTCCCAGTCCATCCACCACCTGCCAGAAATTTGGGCCAGTTATCAAACAGCAGAACAAACCTGTCATCTCCTGCTTGGCAGCTGGCAAATGCAGCTTCAAGACTGTATTCATAAAGAAAATCAATTTTCCAGCTTTTCCATTCTCAGCTAGAGCTAAGCTGGCACTTTGGGCCCAAGCAGGTAATTTTAACACTTGAGTCTTTCACTCACATCATATTAAAATTGCAACACCCTGCAGCCACCATGTAGGCTGTGAACCATTCTGGAGATAGGTAAAAACCCGTGTGCTATTCTCAGAGATCAGTTCCATCTACCAAAGGTATCTGTCAAAGTTATTACATGGACCCAAAGTCCTCTAACTGCATTGCATCACCAGCTAGTGACAAGCAAAATTCCACCTCCTTGCTAGAAACTGGTTTGAAAGCAGTTTGGCGGCCCTAGAGCCCCCCTGGATCATTCCTTAGTCCAAAAAAACACCCCAAAGTTAAAAGAAAGCAAATTTCTCTGATGGATTCTCGAGGGTCATCCAACTTGGCAGATTTAAAACTTCACCAAAAAGCAGTTTGAGAGTACACCCCAAAGTTAAAAGAAAGCAAATTTCTCTGATGGATTCTCGAGGGTCATCCAACTTGGTGGATTTAAAACTTCACCAAAAAGCAGTTTGGGAGCTGCCAGTGAGTCCTTATTTGCTACCACAATCTCATGCCCCACAGCCCTGTTGATTCCATCATCATCGTCCATAGATCGAAATAAATGAAAAATCCTCAAACTCTTCCAATTCAGAAACTAAATTTGTGATGCCACTTCAGCGGGATGCTGTGGGGGAGAATTATATTACCATGCATTTGGAGAAAATTCAGGTTTTGAATGGATTGGTTGAGTGGATTTATGGTGGTAACCAAACCTAACCAGAGCCTGCAGCTAAAAGGCATGACCAGGGCAGGCTGCTCTTCATGAATCAGCTCACTTTCTCTCTCTAAAACACGCTGGCAACCAACATCCAGTGCCCTGCAAGATCTCTTCCTGCTCCCCGGGCACGGCTGTCGTAGCGGAGCCTGGCAGGGATTTTGTTTTGGAAAAAACGAGATCTTCCTTGAACACCTACCAGCAGAGAGGAGTCGTGAGACAGCTCAGCGCCGGGGTCACCCGAGGTGAAGGGAGCCTCATCCCAAGCCCCCATCCAAGGCGGGAGGGCTATTTGCAGCCTCCTGCCCGTTGATCTCCAAATATAGGCCCTGATTCCCCGGGACTCTCCGGCACATTCCTCCCCAGGAGCACACAAACTGTCCCATCACGGGACGCGGGGCGAGACGAAGCTCGTGATTCAGCGTTGGACGGGAGATGCCAGCCCTGCTCCTGCTCTCCTTGTGTCCAAGAAAATTCCAAAGGGAAATAACAATGTGGAAAACATGGATGGAGCTGACCTGGGATGTTCTGTGAGCATCGCTGGCTCAGGCAGCCTCAGGGGGAGGATAAAGCTCCGCCGTGGTTTCCCGGGTGGGAAGGTCACGTTTGCCAGCGGGATTATTTTCCTCCCATCTGCCCCATTTTCCTTCCCAATCTGCCATCTCTGCTTCGGATGCACATCCCAGCCCGAGGAGGCACTGGGATGGCACGGCTGATGCTGGGAAGGCAAAGCTAAACACAGCCCCATTGGTAAAAACACACGGTAGGGGTGGCCTGAGGCCACCTCTCGCACTCAGAAGTGGAGACCTTCCTTATTTTTAGAGGATTTTACCCAAATGGCACCCTGGCTCGGAGAGGAAATGAGCTATTCCTTACGGGTGGTACTACAGAGCACCAGTGATCTCTGCTCACAGCTTCAAGACGGCAGCTACAGCAGCCTCTCGCTCTTGAAAATGTGTTAGAAATCACAAACTGGCACCAGAAATTTGTTGGAACAATCCCCACAGCAGAAATCGGCCGTCTGATGGGGAAAACCCTTAGCAGTATTATTTTCCCTCCCTTGGAAAAGCCACATTTGCCCAAAGAAAAACGCTGAGCAGGAAAATAACTCTGGTTAAGTTTAAAAAAAAATAATAATGTTGCTTATAATGGCAGAATTTCAAAACACCTGTCTGTTTATTCTATTACTGACTTGCCTCGTGAGGAGTTTATATTTTTTTCCTTTCTAACACCTTCTCCAATAAAGTCAGAGGAGATGAATATCTGGAACACAAAGCTGTAGGAGGGACTCGACCGACTGTTCTCTTTGTTCTGCTTTTTTTCCGTACGATTCAAGCTGCTCCCTATTGCTGTCAGGACACCACAACCCAGCACCACTGGTTTTAACAGGACTGTAATGAAAACTGCCAAGTCCGTTCATGTGTATTTTTACCAGAATATTAGCTGAATTTAAAAACAAAATTATTAAATAAAACTATAGTATTTTTGTTCTTATAAATAATCCGTTCATGTGTATTTTTACCAGAATATTACCTGAATTTTTTTAAAAAAATAATTAAATAAAACCATAGTATTTTTGTTCTTATAAATACGCAATTAAATGGAAGTACCTGCAGAGAGACACTGGCCGGAGAGGGATTACATTCTCCTTCACCTCCAATCACCCACGTGCTGTATCTACAACCAAGTAGAATTTAAGATATGTTTTTGTTATTAAAATATTCCAGGTTCTATCCCCATCATCACAAGCACGTGGGGCAGGTATTTAATAAGCAGGGAATAGTGCTCCCCTCTCCCCCTCCCATCAAATCCCCCTCTTACTCCTACAACCAGACGGGCTTTAACAAACCCTCGATTATTTCACTGCCGTGGACCCTGACAAACATTAAAAACCTAAGTTACAGGATTAAATAAGATTTTATTGTCACATTTAACTGCTTCGTCAGAGATGTACATTTTGCAGGTTTCTGTGCGGAATAAAAATTAAAAAAAAAAACCAAACCCTCAATGGTAGTTGCCATGTATGGACTCTGACTCCCACAGAGGCACATCTGGAACCGCTGGCCCACGGGCGCTCGGTGACACCGGGGCGAGTTCTCTCCCAAATGGATTGCAACGCTCAGAGACAAAACTCATCGAGTTAAGGCTAATGAGAAGAACGTAAAAATAGTTAAAACTGACCACGAGGTGTTTAAAGGGGGAAATAACCCGATAAGAAGAGGGGCAATTTTAACACCTCACGTTTTTTCCAGGCGTTTTGCTTCATTTAGTAGAGGTGAGGAGAGGCTGATGACCAGGCTTTTGCCTACGTATACAACATATACCTGGGATTTAAAAAAAGACTTAAAATTTCGGTATTTAAACTTTTAAGTGACTGCTTTGCTGTTCTGGGTGTAAACCAGTGACGTGGTTATTCACACCTCAAAGTGATAGACGCTTAAGAGAATCTCATCTTAAAATGTGGATTTTCTCACAGATCAGGGATTAAATCCAATAATACAAACTTCTTAGTGGCACAATTTTACATATTTTGGGCAACGTTAGCATACAAGCAGTATTTAAATAAAAATAAGTGCATCCAAACATGAAATTCTCTAAATATACCACACTTCATTTATCCCAAACGGCAATTTTCTGACAAGAGCTGTAATTCAAATTAAAATAATCATTTACATATTTCACCCAGAGGGAAAGAGGTAATAAACCCAGGGGACTCTCCAAACAATCTTCTCCTACCCTAGCCCCCATTTATTACATAAAATAACTCATCTAGAAGCGTAAATCCAATATTCAGACGCAAATAAAACGCACGAAGCAGTCTCTGATGTTTGTAATTTGCAGACTCCAAAGTCCAATCATGATGGAATTTACTACTTCTGTCAGTCACTGACTCCTGTATGTGCACTTCATACTGATGCTAAAATAACCAACGAGACAATAAATGAGGCTAGTGTGGCATAAAGTCACTGTAAACCCAGCGAAACCGGAATAATTATATTTATGACATTCATTCGGATGATTTACCGGTCATCCCTCCCCCCTCCCCTTTACAGAAAAAAAGGCAACCATCATTTGAAGTGATACACACATTCGGCTAGTAAAAAAAATTTAAAACAAACCCCCTCCTCTGTGAAAAGAGCAACGCCGCTCGAAGAAGGTACACCACATGGGTTCCACCCAGGCTTCTCGGAATTATCAACATTTCTCCGCTTGCAAAGGCCAATTTGGCTTCCCAGAGAAAGCTGTTTTGAAGGCGGCTGATATATCTATTCCCTTTCAAAAATTAAAATTCAAGGCATGATAGTGCAAGAGGTAAGTTTTGATTTGAGAACATTATTTGTAGACTAACTGTGCTTAGTTACTACATCCCAATTTATTGTCTTAAAGAAAATACGGCAACAAAAGCTAGAAGATCTCTATAAATTTCATTTTTGCCTAAATTTACCAGTACATCCATGAACCTCATCAGTATTAGTACAACTTGATTATCCTAATGATTCCATTATAAAACTTGCAAAATGTATCACAACGTGAATAAACCATCTAGTGCAAGTCTTCTACATTTTGTGTGCACAGGAATCCTGTGTAGTTCATTTCCTCCAGGTTCAATCCCCAAAATCTCTCTGCAACGATTACGAAAAGAGGACAGTGTCACGTGGATTATTCTTTTTTATTGTTGTTGTTGTTGTTGTCGTTGTTCACCCCCCTCTATCAAATCTGAGAAGTTTGAGTGTTCCTGGAGTCGCCGTCGGGATGCGCCGAAGGTCGGGAATCCCTCGTCTGTGAGTATTCGCTGTCGGAGGACTCTGTGGGTTCGAGCAAGTTTTCGTAATCACTGTCTTCTGACTCCTCAACATTGTCACCAACCGCTCTTTGGGAAGATGGCATGGACGCCCCGTTACCAGAATATTTCAATCCTGCGTTTGTGGAAACGTAACTGGAAGAACCGACTGCTTGGGGTCGAGGCATGAACACGTTGCTCTCCAGGAGAGCGTGCCCCACAGTACTTTCCTGACTGCTCGTGTTGAAATCGGAGTACGGCGGGGGAGGATCGGAGACATCTGAATCTTCAAGCGTGCAGCCTTCCACAGCAAATCCAGTGTAGGACATTCGGGGAACAAACAGAGGTTCCAAGTTATCTGTTGGCATTTGCCTGCTTAAAATTGCTTGCTGCATTCCTGCAAAAGCAAAGAAGGTTGCTATAATTAGTGCTTACTTTGCAATCGACTTTACGTAACCCAGCTGTGACGTCCCACAGTTCTCTCTTCTTTCATAGAGTCCCTCCCAGCAGAGGGACTCCAGCCCTTGGGGCATCTTCGTGGCCTCCTCTGGACCCTTTCCAACAGGTCCATTTTGGCAAGGGCTCAGCAAGCCTGCTCCTGTCCACCTATGTCTCAGTCAGTGCTCAGCTTGACTCAGTTTTGATTAGACCATAATCCTGGAAAAGTCGGACACAATCACTGAAATGTGTTCCCTACGAAAAGCCACACTAACAGGTAAACTCCCCCACCTTCACATTTTGACTTTTATTTAAGTGATTGTACACTTAGCTGCTATAAATAAATTTGTCCACTAAGGAAAGGGTGTCTCTCCAATCCAAAAATCAAAGCAAGACCAAAAAGCCACAGCTACGTCTCGCCTTTAAGGATTTCACAGTGTCTCCATGTTCCATAACAAACAGACAGTAACAAAAGTGCTTCAAAGGCTGAAAAAACCCAAACCATCTGAAGAACTGGTTAAAGAACAGTTAATATCGTTAAGAGTCACAATGCAAAGATGCATCAAGATGAAGCTCCTAGAGCTCCACATAATAGACAAAACAGCATCAGCTCTACTTACTGTAACACCTTACTTCTGGAAAAAGCAAAAATCAAGGCTGAAGGGGTCCTTTAATCAAGTCAATGTGGTATCTCTTTTGTAATAAAGAGAGCCCGTTCCCTCAAGTGGCTGCACAACAGCACTCCAGTTTTGGTCCACAACACAACAACTCCAGTGGGAGATTTCCTGGAATCTGGGAAACACCGCACTCACTATGCCCTGAGACGTGCTACTACGAGTACAAAATTAATTCAGTGACCTGGGAGTAATATCTCAACTGACTTTTTATGCCACAGTGTTAAAGTCTTAACCTGTTAACCAAAAATTTGTAAGAATAACAAACTTTCACACAACGCTACTGCAGGAATTTGTACCAAACGCTCCCTTTCCCTCCAGCTCAGAGAATGATTAACTGCAACATTTGACTCACTAAACCCAAGGAAATTCACCCAATATCGAGTCAGCCAGAGAACAGAAGGCTGGCTTCGGTATTTAGCTACTCACATCTAAAAATATTGCAGAGACACAAGCTGCCTGTTTTCTTGCTTCAGCCCCTCTCACAGGATTATCTGCTCGGGCATCAATTTTCAGCCCGGCATTTCCATCCCACTGGTAGTATCTAGATTCTAGCACCGACTGCTCTTCCTCCTCCTCCTCCTCCTGTCTTTTGCCATATGGGCTGGGACCAGCTCCAGCCACACTTAAATACCCATCTCCACTCCTTGCTCATGTAGTAGCACTTCCCTGGCTGTTTCATCCCCAGCCAAGCAGGAAAGAGCAGGGGCTGATGCCACTTCCACCACCTCTCCGATGGCGCGTGGCCGGTGCTGCTCTTCACCTTATCTTTGAGGTTCAGGGAAGGAAGGACCCTAGAGAAATGTGCTGACAGATCAGACCTTGCTCTAAAATGCTCATGTGATAACAGGACCTTGCTGCCAGGAGAAAGTTAAAATATCCAGATATAACAGCAGAGGGGCCTCTTGCACAGTTTTGGGTGTTAACTCCTCTAAACCATCCTTGAGTCTCAGGAACAGCTTTAGATTACAAGATGTTTTTTTATTATTTGTGTATCTTGTTGCTAAAATGACAAATTTGGTTATTTTCTTATCATTTCAAAACATGGAAAAGAGAGGCAGTATTTGCTGAAGTATGCAATTTTCCTATGTATTATTTTTTAAAAAAATATTAGAATCATAGAATGGTTTGGGTTGGAAGGGACCCTAAAGATCATCAAGTTCCAACCCCCTAATTACTTCCCGTTTGCCTATTCTCTGCTCCTACTCTCTACCTTCGGGCTTCCCTTACACTCAGATTAAATCAGATCAGCAACATCTCCTTGGGAATGTCCAGGCTCTTCACAAAACCTACCTACTGCTAAGCCAAAAGCTCCTGAAGCCATATTCCTTTTTTAGGACGGAGGGGAAGGGAGGCAACCAGCCAAGTGTGCTCAAGTGTGCTCACACAACAGGTCTCACTGCTTCACAAAATTATGGAGCAGCAAAAGGAAAAAAAAAAAAAAAAAAAAGAATTTAAACCCATTACTGGTTTCATTATGGAGCAGCAAAAGGAAAAAAAAAAAAGAATTTAAATGCATTAATTTTACTGGTTTTCCCTACCAATTCTAACTGCATACTAAGAAAACTTGTATTATTAATACGGAATGCAGAATCAACTCTAATGAAGACATGGATTTTTAATGGGACTTATTTGCAACATGGAAACTTAAGCCCAACCAATTTGATACTAATATAACTCTTCAAAACACAGCAGAAATATAACTTCTACATTCAGAGCTTCACTAGAAAGAGAAGACTGTCATACCTGTATTGCCTTAAATAAATCAAAGAATTACCCGATTCGGCTTCCCCCACAATGAAACCCCCCAACATACTGCAAGAAGGACAATATTTCAGTAGCTTCATGGAATTAAAACTATTACAAATTGAAATCCTTATCAGTGATGATGTGGTACTTGAAATAGGCAACCAAATTGCAATAATATTCTGCATTTAAGTAGCTTCTTCCACTTTTTAGCAGGTACTCCTGGAGATAGGAATGACTTCAAAATGGACTTTTAGAGATTAGATTCAAAATGTAGTTCAACATTGAAAAGCATTATTTCAACCCCAATCATGTTCACCACTAAGTCAGCAAATAATGAAAAACCAGCTGACTAAATTAGAATTCTGTAACTATGAAGTGGGAGAGGAGCATAAAAACGTGGATGGTCTGTAAATCAGTAGGGAAAAACCTGATATACCCAGTAAAAGCTGCAAGGTCAAAAATCATTTAGAGAACATTTCAGATGATCCGCATCAACATCCATCACTTACACACTCATTTTGCTCCACCCAGTTTGTCTGGTGTCCAGTAACAGACCTGAGCTCTAAATGAATTGGTGCTGGGCTTGTATTTGTGGATTTCAAATAAACATTGATAGCTCCTGGCCTGTAAACACAGTACCCTGTTTCCATGTAATACTGCAAAAAGGAATCTCTCCGGTGTTTAGATTCGCTTTTTCCATTCCTGGCTTTGCTCCACTTTTCCTTTCCTACACCGGGCCTTTTCCTGTGTTATTTCCAAAAGTGACTTTCTCGTTCTTTAGCTTTGTCTCTCTCCTCTGTTTTGCTAACATTGGAGGACTCCCACAAACATATCTGCAGTACATGCACTTTCACAGTTCAGGTATCATTCAACATAAATCCATCATATACCCTTCCCAACAGGATTTTTTTTAAATTTTGCCGTGAGCTACCAGGAAAACAACTCAAAATAATTCCATAAAGTGCTTTCTCCTTACAGCATCTGCTTCTGAATAAAAAGAAAGTAAAAGGAAACTTACTTATTTCTTGTTCTTTTTCGTTTTTCTTTTGTGCGATTTGCCTTTTTAACTTGTTTACATCCGCTTGAAAAGATTCAACAACACGTTCACTTTTTTCTACATCTATACATACTGCCTAGGAGAAAAACATAAGACATGCTAAGGCTTTGCAAAAATACAGGAAAGACTTCCAGAACAACATTAATAAAAAATTAATAAAACAAACAAGATGCCAATAAGAGCACAAAACTGAGAGCAGGAGTTAACTGTATCACGGCATAATATTCAGCCTGAGGATTGTTTTATTTGTTGCCAATTCCTAATTGATAGGAAATCCATTTCCAAATAATTAATCAGGAATATTTGTAATAAGATCAAAATTCCTATTTGGTGGAAAAGGCTTGCCATTTTGTTTTTCATGGTTTGGGGTTTTTTTTGTTTGGTTGTTATCTTTATTTTTAAATACCCTGTTATTGGCACAATAATAATACCATAGTAGCACGGTTTTAAAATGTAGCATGAAGGTGCATATTTTTTGTAAAAGACCAGATTCAAACTGGGGTATTAACAGTTCACTCGAGAACAACTGTCCCAAGTCTCTCCTAGCTGATACCTCTATTAAATAAACAAGACCCATGGATTTCCCAATAAGATTTTCCTATACTGGTTAGGAAATAAAGCTGAAATTTTCATTAAAGTATCCAACTTTAAAAACAGACCTGGGTAACGTTGATTTCTTTTTTAATCTAAACATGTTAACTGAATATTGTTTATTTCTTCAGAAATGAAGTATTGGTCATTATCATTAAACATTACCAGTTTTGAAAAGTTCACAACTCTAAAAGCACTGATGAGTCTTAGACAGTTAAGTCAGCAACCGTCAACTCTAAAAGCACTGATGAGTCTTAGACAATAAGTCAGCAACCACTTACTGTTTCTTCTCTGAGAGGTTACTATTAGTGATCTTACCCACAGAGCTGAAAAATATTAACTATGCTTTCAGTTCTATACCTAATTTTTAGGAATTTATAAAGTTTAAACCCTACCCCCCAACTAACTGGTGAATAATGCAAATATGGGTATCTCGGGTACTTTACCAGAAAACTTATTTCCAGTCCTGTAATATTCTCTGTGAAACATTGGCTTTAAAGATAAGTTTCTCCATTGAGATGACACCCAAGTTACTTTTAAGCTCTGTAACAACGTACAGCAGCACGATTTACATGGCAAAACACAACAAAGTCATACTTTTAACAGGTAGGAAGCCAACTCCCTGATGATGTTGTATTTTCCATTTATCCAGACGCTAATTCAAACAACGGCAAGAGCGCAAAAGGATATATGCACTCTTGGCAAAAACAGAATAATACCATTAGCTAATGGCATAGACCTCTGAAAGTACATTTTCATGTCTCCTGAAGCTGGCATGAAAGCTGTCTGCCTTCTCGATGTGAGTTAGAAAGCAGGTTTGGGAGTAGCAACTTCCTAATAGTAGGAGAATAGTGGAAAAATAGTAGTTTTTGCATGGGAGCAGGGTGAGGGGATGGTTGGAGCGATCGCTGCCTTGAAAAGCTAAACCAGAGCAGAGACACAAATCCCTCCAGGGCAGATGTAAGGGGAAAGCCTAGAAATGATCTGTGACTACAGCACAATTAGCAGATGCGTGCGCTCCCGAGGCAGCGCGGCGACGCCGCTCCTCGCGTAGGACAAGCTGTGAAATGACAGGCTTCCATTTAGTGGATTTTGACACTCAAGGCGCTTCTCGGCTGCTTTGCCACATTTGGAGCAGAATTCACTCATGCTCCACACAAAACATTCACAAGTTTTAACTGACAGATGGAGCCCTTTGCTGCACGCTACATGCCAAGAGCCAGGAGACATTTTTAAACTCACACAGGCAAGGCTTTAAACCTGTGCAAATCCCTACAGCCTTCAGCGAGGCTTTTCTTGAACACATACCCTTAAAAATAGACGGCATTTCCCAGAAATCACTAAGCATTAAATCATTCTTACTTGCAAAAAGAGAAAGAATTGATGATATTCGCATCAACTGCTTTTACAGCAGCCACCGCAAATGCACACGTTAAATAGAAACTGACACAATTCATTATTAAAGTCAAACCTATTTTCCTACAGTTCATAACAAATCGTTTATGAGCTCTAAAAGTCTCCATCTGTAGTCCATCTGACTAATAGTCTCCATCTAAAAGAAACCTATTTTCCTACAGTTCATAACAAATCATTTATGAGCTCTAAAAGTCTCCCATCTCCTCCACTTCTGTTTTAACCAAAGGACAAACAAAAGATGCCACATACATACGGATCAATGTTAAGTAAAGGAAGTTACCTGTACTTTTTCCTGAAGTGCATTATAAACCTGATATATAGCCCTGATGTCCTTCATCACCCCATCTTTGTCAAAAAAATCAGTACTGGAAAAAAAAAAAAGCAGAAATCATTAGTTAGAAAAGACAGCACAAGTTTCCAGCTCAGGCTGTCTTTGAATTGCTGTTAAGCAATCCATCACTGTAGTTTTAAAATGCAGGCTGTCTTTGAATTGCTGTTAAGCAATCTATCACTGTAGTTTTAAAATGTATTTTATTTTATATTGCTAAAAATATATCATTATCTCAAGAACCAAAATTTGGACAGCAGCATATTCAATATCAAAATTTCTTCTGGGACAATAAAGTCCCATTGGAATGAGATTAAACATTCAGAAATCTTTAAGCTTGTATAATTTCACTGTTAATAGTCAGAAGAGCTACTTCACAGTTACAGCATTTAATTAAAATTACTTAAGAAAAACAACAGGACTTCAACACTTCCGAGTTCCAGGTTTTGAATCAAGCTTGCACTCAGAATTCCTTGAGGGGGTGGGATGGGGATGGAAATGAAGTAAAAGGCTTCCAGCCAGAAGGCCCACACCACAACCCGCTCTCCCAGCTCCGATTTTCTGATTAGTGCACTAAGTCCCTTCTAAAAGATTCCGTTCTTCTAAAAGATTCAGTTCTAAGCAGGACTAAATCCACTAGAACTGACCATTCTCCTTCAGAAACATTTTTTTTTTGCTGCTTGAAATGCATATTTGTGGTATTCTTTGGAAGGTACAAAACGCAGAGCTTGATGACTGTACTTGATTTGCAAAAAGGAGAAATCCTTACCCGTGTTCCTTAATAACTTTGGCATAATTCTGAGAAGTATTTGGCACTGAAGAAACTTTGTATTCCTGTTGACTAGTGTTGCCTAGATTAGGAATAGTAAGTGACACCCTTTGATTATACCTGTAGAGAAAGTTTAGAAAGACTTCTTAACTCATATTCAAAAGATTATTTACAATAGCTGTGCTATTATCTCACCTCCCCTGATGATCCCAACTCATCTAATTTCAAAGCTTCTGCATTAGGATAGTTATAAAAGCTGCAAAATATTACAAGTTGTGTTCAAAACAAATGCATGATCAAAAACTCCCCTGACCTACCTCTGTACCTCTTAGAACCTTTTCATTCTGCATACAAACTACCACAGATACAAGAAAGGTGAAGCTACATTCAGGTCTATTGTAAGAAACATGGTACTGACATCTGATTTCTCTCAAAATATTTAAAAAACTGTCATCATTAACAATAACAATTAACAATTATAAGACATCCTTCCACAAACACAAAGCCTTCTTTACATGCAATTGTTCAAACTCCAAAATAATTTAAAGAAAAGCAATAAGATGCAGTCAAACTCCAAAATAATTTAAAGAAAAGCAAGAAGAAGCAGAAAAAAAAAATGAGGATTGGTTCACATACAGAGATCACTCACCTTCGGTTTGGTCTAAAAAGCACATATTCTAAAGCATGTGTTGAGTTATTTGCCGTGGAAATGAAGCTGAAGAGAAGGAAGACAAGATCAGGCACTCCAAGAATGTGTGTCAGCTGTTTGTGAATGATGTGCTCTCTATATGACATTTGCTGCTGAGTGTTTCTCCTAAATCTGTACCATCCAATAACGTTCTGTAAGCAAAGTAAATTAGAAGAAAACAAAGTATTAACTGAGAGACACAGATAATAAAGTTGCTGTAACTGTGGTATCACGTGAATTAGCCAATAGCTTTATCACAACAAAATCAGACTGAATTACGAGAGGCTTGAACCTGAAACAAGTGCCATCCTGTTCCAACACGACTATTAATTGCTCAACCTTATTGTGCTACAAGCACCTGTGTGTCCTCAGTGCCACTCAGGATCCCATTTCCAATACACTTCAAAGTATATTCAAGCTTAAATATTTCAACTGTCTATTCTCTTGTGTCAGTTTGTGAGACACTTCCAGTGCTTCACAAATATATTTGCAAATTCAAGTCTGTTCATGAGACAGGACCAATCTGCTGTGTACAACAATAAAATTAGAATCATAGAATGTTTTGGCTTGGAAGGGACATTTAAGGTTGGACTAGATGATCTCCAGAGGTCCCTTCCAGCCCCATATCAGCCTGTGATTCTGTGAAATGCAACTGGCAGCTCTACAAGCAGCAGTAACAGCATCAGTTTGCTGCTGCTGCTGCTTTGTAAAATAAATGAACAAAAAAAGTTGCTGTTTTAACCACCCCTACTTTGTACTAGCTCTGGCACTACCCAGACCCCAAGAGCCAATTTCATGTATTAGTGTTGCTTTCAGTTGGGTCTAAGAATGTCCATGGTTGCCACAAATTGAACGATGCAAGTCAGTCATGTGTCCTCTCGCCAGAGCAAACTGGTGGCTTCAACTCGTGGTGAACCAGTTTGTGAGAACTTCCCAATCAATCATTAGATAATTAATTACAAGCATGGAATGAGATGAAATACTGAAAAAGGTTTGACTGTTCTCCAAACAACTACTAAAATTTCACTTTCACAAACAACGTATACATGATGTAAAGCTCTGACAACATCTCACCTAACTGATAGAGCAGCTTTTCCAGTTTAAAACTGACAGTGCAAAAATTGTAATTAAGAGGCTTTATCACTACAACTCTTTTAAATGAACTCTTCAGAGCAGGTTTTCAGATCAGGTACATTTTTATTGGTTTCAGCAGCAGAGTACACAATCATAACACTACACGTTTAGTCCAGAAATTTGAGTGGGTTAATACCAGCCCTTCACTTTTGGAGACCTAAATTTACATCTTTTGATTTTCTTCAGGGAATTCAGACATTGCCCCCAATTTAACCTAAGTACCACAAATTCACCAACTTCTGTACAGGACAAAAACAAACTTTGGGTCAAACCAAACCATCAGATTTGTGAACGAAAAATACTTCTTCCAGTTAACTACCTTTTTTTGTTTATTTGTTTTCCAAAACCACTCATTCTAATTATAGGCTGTAATGACTAGAGCAGGAGGAAAAGATAGAAAAACTTACTTTTCTTCGGTCCTTAAGAATTCTGTCCAAACTCTCCTCATTAACTTTGCCTGCATAGTCGTAAAAGCTTGAACCAAAAAGGAAGAGAGAAAGGTAGGTTTACTCAGTTTACTCACACAGTATACATAATGTAAATAATTTATATTTTGAGTGTTCTTTGAACAGATGCCATTCTATACATGACAAAGCAACTTCTATAGTATTACCTTTATCATCATAGGTCAGTATTTACACCACCTACTTGGGTGATGTAAATACCCCACTCGGGTGCCATATAGAGTGCAGTTAGAAGCCCAGGTTGGCTGCACAGTTGCTCACAGAGGAATGTGGAGAACATTTAAATTAGATGCCTGAGACTAGCTGGGGTGAAAACTCTTAACTCTTTTTAAACCACTAGTAATGAAATACAAGATGCCTGAAATTAGTTTTAAAACGCTTTCATTGCACACAAGTGTTTGATGCCCAGTATTTCACTGCCAGCCCCTACAACAAGGGGTAAATGCACTGTGTAATTTTATTTTGACCAGCATTCTGTAAAACCCTGCTTTGATAATAAGAGTCCTACCTGCCAAAGCAGAAAGGAAAGCAGGGCCCTTTTACGTGCAACTACAGATCAATTTCTTGAGCTCCAATTCTGCAATTAGACTCACAAGATGGGACCCTTGAAGCCAAAACAGTTATATTGAAGTCAGCAAGAATCCAAAGTATTATGGAGCTCCCTCCATACAGCTCTGCTCACAGACCTGAGGCCCAAGCCCTGGTGTGTTGGTATTTTGAGGACATGGCAGATTGAAGAATTTATAAATCTCTCTACACGGACAGGTTTATAAATTGAAATAGATCACACTTCATGATAAAAGGAAAAACATTTGAAAAGAGATCCCCCCTTGACTTAAGTGCCAAGCCCTTAGTCTCTTTCAAGAGCTGGTACCACTAACACCTAAAGAGGTGCAGGAAAACACTCTGGTTTAGAGGTCTAAGAGCTCAACTCTTGAGGGGGTGGAGTAAAAAAAATACAAGAGAAAATCCTGAGCTCAGTACTTGGCTGGTAAATAAGGGTGGAAATAAAATTGAAATAAAATTCGTTTCAAGATGCAAGTTATTGTGAATATTCAGACTGCAACTAATTACCAATTTGAGATACTACATAATATTTGCATAATCTTTTCAATTCATGTTCACTGTGTTTGTACATGCTTGTAAGTAGCTGATATCCAATTATTTCTCTTGCTGTGCTTTCCAAGAATAATTTCCCTATGGGATGAGCAAGTAGTATGTAACAAAACACCTTCATCTGAAACCTGCAGAGAGAAATCAGTTCTTTTCCAAATCCTTGCTGCTTATCCAGCTCCCACGTGTTGGTAAAAGCACTGGACCCAAGCCTCGTGCGGAAAGCACGCAGTGAAAGACAGAGTCCCTCCCCTTCCTCCATCAGCTCACTTACTAACAACCAATTTCTCGACTGGGGAGCAGCAGTAAATGCGATGGGTTCTGATTATGTGCTGCACAAAGCATCACTAGGAATCAGACAGAGTCTACCAGACGCTGGGATATTATCTTGATGTGTGGAGTCTGCAGCATTTCAATCACTGGGTTAAGAGTACCCTCTCTGTAATTATCAGCTAGCAAATGACAGACTGCAGCTTTTCTCTCTAATGTAACTAATGTCAATCAGAACGTCTAAGGTACTGTCTCTTCTTAATTGGCTGGAAATCTCTAAATAAAGACAAGAGGAGATTAATTGGGAATTCCTTCTAAAAAGAATTTCTAGACAGCCATTTAGAAGCCATCACTGTATAACAAATGAAGACTCCTGAGGAAAACTACATATAAATAGACAGAAGCTGCTCAGTAGAATATATTAGACCTATATTTAATTTACATTCTGGAGTAAAGGAGACCAGAAGGAAAAATAACTAGTAAGCTGAAAGTTTCAGAATAATTAGTTGCTGCAAGTCAGTACCAGAAGGAAAAATAACTAGTAAGCTGAAAGAATAACTAGTTGCTGCAAGTCAGTTGAACTAGCTACAAACCTACTTGTTAATCCAGGAAGTTACTAGATTAAGGGAACACAAAGCATTCAGGCCCCAGCAGAGCTAACCTAAGACTACAATAATTTAAAATGATTTTGACATTCATCCTAATTATCAGAGTGATACGATTTGATGCTGCCCTACCTCCACTAACTACATGTGAATTTCCATGAGGTGGAAATTCAAAGAGACAGAGAAATAAACCTCTACCAGTTACCTCAGCACCCCTTCTCACCTAAGGTAAGCGCTACTGAAACTGTAAAGTCCTACTTTGATTGTCATGGTTGGTGCCATTTACATGTATTTCGGTAATACCATCAGATAACAATGCAAACATCGGTAGGTACATTTGAAATGCTAATACATTTCAGCAAGCTACCTATTTTTATATTCTGCAGCCAACACAGGAAGACAAGAGAAAAAGCTTACCTAAACAGTTTTGAACAAGGCTCATGGTTATGGATTTCTGCAACAACAAACAGAAAAAGAGAGACATATGTCCAACTGCTCAAGGTAAAGAGAAATTACAGTGGCGTATCTTGCATGAACTTTCCACATCACAGCTACTGAACAAATAAACATTTATGTCAGACCACACACTGCTCTTAATGTCTCCACAACACTTGATGACACAGCACCATACCCGGAAAACCAGCTGCTCTTCCTCTCGCCAGTTCATAGAGAAAAATATTATAACAATAAGCAAGATATACACTTGCTCTGATATACATAGATATATCTAAGCCCCAAATACACACTTCTGATACTATTTTATACCTGTAACCTCCTCAGGAATGTATTTATGATTTTTTTTTTTTTGCTTTTTGATGCAGCTTTCCACAACAGTTCACTTGCGTGCACATACAGTGTTTATTGCAGCAGCAATAAACAAGAAAAGGGATGGGGAAGGGAGTCACTGAAACATTATACAATGGAGAATTTAACCATGCACCAAAAATAGACATTTTCTCTATGATGAGAAAAGGGCTTAAAAGCCCCTCCAAAATGGCTAATTGGAATATATAATTCTGTTCTAGAAAGTAGTAAAAAGTCTCGGCAGTATTTTTTTTATATTGAAGAGATTGTAATAAATGCTAAGACGTGCATTTAAGCAGCAAAGGCTGTAACACATCAGTAACCACAGAGAAGAGTGAGAAAAGAGCAAAAATTCAATTCACATTATCTCTGTAACACCAAGCACAACTTACTCTCTCACAGTGTCTCTCACTTTCTCTAAAGTTCTCCTCTACTCTGACTTTTTACCAAATACAGCTCATTGTTTATTCCTATCATTATCCCTTGATCACGTAACTTTTGTCTGAAACTATTTGCTCAGACTGAACAGCACTTACACAGCAATAATATTTCAAGCTTCTGCCTTAGAACCTGGCTGGAGTTGTTTAGCAACAACTTTGTTTAGACTCTTCCTTCCCGGGGAGTGAGTCACCACCTGCTGTTCCCAAAGACACAGGCTGCTCGCGATTGCAATATCAGCAGAGTCAGAATCAGATCACAATCCCCAAGAATAACAGACTGCACACATTAATGTCTCAGCATATTTAGCCTCTATCAAAACAAGGCCCTGGTCCATGGCAGGCGTCCTGACTGAGATACCGTACATTCTCCCTGGCAAGGACTCATGATGCTGTTGTTGCAGTTCCTTTATTTGGAATATATTTAGACTTTCTTTATTTTGACTTGTTTATAAGTGTATCAACACCACATTTTTTACAGTGGCATACAGGGATTTGTGGATGTGATTTGCTAAACAAATTATTCCAGTTCAGATCAACTCCTTCCAACTACAACTACTGAAAATACACACTTAATTCTTGGGTTATGAGGCTGCTACACAGGCCTTGTCTTCTGAAAAACAGGAAGCAACACGCCTACGGCTCAGAACGCAGCCATCATTCTGCATTTGAGGTTTACACATTGACTTATTTTATAGAGATATATAGTACCTATATACCCAAACAATGCCACTAAGCTTTGAAACAGCAGACACGTAAGAAAGTTAAAACTCAGCCGCGACAACAGTGCCACAAAACTATCCACCTCACTCCATGAGCTGAACTCAGAGTTCAGAGTTAATGTTGATGAATAAATATTAAAGTAAAAATTTGGTAAACAGAAAATATCCAGATCATCTGGATTAGGGGCAGGGGTGTGTGTATGCAATTTCTCAGAAAATAACTGTTACCATGAATGTGACAAGAGTTATCTAAAAAGGAAATAATTTTTAACACCACAAACACTTGGTTTATGAAACCAGGCTGAGGGTGCAGTTGATGTTACTGTGTTACACTGTCAACGATAACTAAGATCAGTTACCCCTGAATAATCATGTCTAGTTTTGTCCAAACATAGTCATGAGCTGCCTTCCTTTACACAATACTTTGATACTGACTATATACACACACAAAACCCAGTCTGGAGACTTAACATAACATTGTACCTACTTTCAGAGACCTTCAGTTCTCTATTGGAAATAACATTTGAGAGCCAATCCCAAGATGTTTGTGTATTAGCTAAGCTTTATTCAGATGCTGCTACGTTATCTAGTATCAGATCCACAAAGCCAGGTACATACACATTTGGGTTTTTAAAGGTTTATATGCATTTTAATACTGGGGTCATATATATGTATTAAAAAAAAAAAAAAAGGGATTCAGTTTTGGAGGTTTCCTATTTTCTATAAACCATAGAGCTAAACCCATGCAACAACATCTCACTTGTGCATAAAAATATCTACTTCAACCAACAGCATTTAACAGCAAGATCTTTGATCTACTTTTCACAACAACTAATCAGCTGTACAGGAAGTACACATACTTATCAATAAAGTAAATTGTTTGACAAATATTCCCTGGTCAATCTTGCTGTGACAGTTTACAATGTCATCAACTACCAGCCATTTATCCAAACTCCTCACTGGAAATTTAACCCCTTTCAGTATTAGTACAATCAAGTAATACATTTATTTAATGTTGAGCATGTCTGTATTTGGAAAGCCATAGCAAACAGGAAACTCCCTGCAAGACCAAAACCCAAATTAATCATTTCTCCATCACGAAATGCAGATAACTGTCTTCAACACACGATCTTTACTTTGCAAAAGGAGACACATAAAACCCCCATATCTAGGAAAGGACAGTTTCCTTTCCTCACACCTCAACCACAAACACATATACTGCAGCAAATGCTGTTTTGAGAGACTGAAACATCTTGTGCTGGTCTCACAAGTGAAGGGATTCTTACCGAATTGCTGTATTGAAAATTGAAATAATGAACAGTGCTTCTTTCAGAGATTCTCTAAATTCTATTACTTACCAATGACTTGTAGAAATTCAGTGTTGCTGATCTGTGAATCGCTAATGCTAAAAGTCTCTTCTTGTCTCACCTCTCCTAGCAGAAATCCTTCCTACAATTGCAAGGGTGGAGAAAAAAAGAAGGACTAAAAATAGGAAAAAAACCCAACCCTACTATGTACAGTTATTTACCGTAACTTTCTTAGCATTCAAGGGAATAATTAAAATGAAGATTTAGTTTGAAATACACATCTGAGTCTAGGTATAACCTGTCCTTAGGTTTACCAAGACTGATTTCCTGATTTAGCAACGTTCTTTCACAACACTATAGGAACAGTTTGTCCAAAAATAACACTCTACTGCAAGCTTCCGTAGGTAACACACAACTTAAACGAGGTAGAGCCAGATTACATAAAGAAGCAGTCCCAGCTACGCAGGACATGGTGGATGAGGAGCAGGAGGCCTGAGCACGGTGCACCATACCGATGCTGCCCTGCTCCTCCAAAGCTAACGGGGAGCTGAGTTTACACCTGCAAAGGCTTATTCAAATTTACATACGGAGACTGAGCTGGACCCTGAAGAAAACCAGAGATCATAAAACTCAGGAGGTAACTTGAAGTCAGCTTTTATTCTCCATCCCCGCCCAAAATGAGGAAGGAGAATAAGCAGGAATCGGGTGCTTTTTGGCATAAGCACTGAAAGTGCGACACACCGTTTCCTGGTGATCGGATAAGGGAGCGAGCTCAGACTAGAAGTTTGTCAACAAAACAAGGGGATTTGGAAACACCCCAGTTCTGCACCGCAACCGGGGTTAGCTACCGGGGCTGGAACTCGAAACCAGCTGCAAGGCGCCGGCAAACCCCCGCAGCTTTACCTCAGGGGTCTGCTCCCTGCAGCCGGTTCCCCTCACGCCAGGGCAGCCCCGCGTCCAGCCCCGCAGTGCCCCGGAGGCGCAAGGCGGCCGGCGGCCCCCCCAAAAGCGGGACCCGGCGGATCTGCAAGCCACCCCCACACCCCCACGCTGGTGGCCGGGACCGGGCGGCACCCCGTAGCCACCTCCACCGGCGAGGGCCACCTCCACACCGCCTCCAGGAGCCGAGCCGAACGGCTGCCCCCAGCCCGGGCCCGACCGGCGTTGGCCCGGCCCGGCCCGGCCCGGCCCAGCCCAGCGGCTGCTCGGGGAAGGAGGGGAGGCACGCAGACCGAGGGAAGCCCCGCCTGAGCGTAGCGGGAGGCGGCAGCGGCCGCGGGCACCTACGTGGTCGGCGCTGCTGTTGGCGCTGTAGTAGCAGACAGAACTGAACGTGTAGCCCGAGATGGAAGCCGCCATGATGGAGACCACCGCCGCCGCCGCCGATCCCACAAGCCCCCGCGCGCGCTCGCGGCCCGCCGACTTCCGGTGGCGGCGCGGGGGCCTTCTGGGAAGTGTAGTTCTATTCCGCATGGAGCCGAGCTCTCTCCATCCCCGCCCGGGCAGCGAGTGGGAGTCCTCCAAGGGGTAGAGCGGCGGTCGCGGGCCCTCTCCCGGTTGCTCTCTATGGTGCTGAGGTGCTTCCGGGCATGGCGGTGGCGGGGGAGCGGGCCGGGCGCCCCGCGGGGCTGGATCCCGGGTGCCGGGAGGAGCCCTTCAGCCCCTCGGTGCTGGGCACCAGAGAGCAGTGAGTGGGCGCGGAGGGGGTCTGCGGGCGATGGGCCGCGGCGGAGCGGTCTCGGGGCGGCGGCGGCGGCCCGGGGAGCAGGAGGCCCGTGCTGTGGCCCCTCGTCCTGTCACTCTTGGCCTTCCCAGCTCGGTGTCTGGCGGGCAACGTGTGCCCGAGCGATTTATATACTTAGCTAATACTTGAGCTTTCCGGTGTCTGAAGGGGGGCCACAAGAACGCTGGAGAGGGACTTTTTACCCCAGCTCTGGGGCCACCAGCATCAGAAGGACATGGACCTGTTGGAGCAGGTCTAGAGGAGGCCATGGAGATGCTGGGAGGGCTGGAGCCCCTCTGCTGGGAGGACAGGCTGAGAGAGTTGGGGGGGTTCAGCCTGGAGAAGAGAAGGCTCCAGGGAGACTCTAGAGCCCCTTCCAGTCCCTAAAGGGGCTCCAGGAGAGATGGGGAGGGACTTTTTACAAGGGTGTGTAGTGATGGGATGAGAGGTAATGTCTTCAAACTGGAAGAGGGTAGATTTAGATCAGATATTAGGAAGAAATTTTTCATGCTGAGGGTGATGAGAGCCTGGCCCAGGTTGCCCAGAGAAGCTGTGGCTGCTCCATCCCTGGAGGGGTTCAAGGCCAGGCTGGAGGGGGCTTGGAGCAACCTGGTCTGGTGGGAGGTGTCCCTGCCCAGAACAGGGGGTGGCTTTTAGGTCCCTTCTGATCTAAATCATTCTATGATTCTGTGATACCATGGACATAAAGTGGCACTGCTACATAGATACAGCTTTCCCCTCCCTCTCTTCCCCTTGCTCTTTAATCTCAATCTTTTCCACGATATTAATTGCAATATCCTTTCCTTTCCCCCTGACTCCAGCTGGGATGCTGCATATGAAAGAGAACTGCAGACATTTGAAGACATTGGAGATGCAGGGGAAATTTGGTAAATAAAATAACTCCACTGGAGTGTTTCTCTTATTTCATTTTTAAAGTAGACACTGCAAAAATGAAGCCAGAAATTTGGTGGGTCATTGTATAGTTCTGGGTGTTGGCAAAATGATGGGGAATTTTGATCTTGAAGCCACCAGTTATGGCTTTTGCCCAGTTTTGCAATGCAGATTTCTAAGGTGCACTTGGACAGCTGTCCTTGCACAGAAAGTGTGCTGGTAGTTGTGGTGGATGTTACTAACAAAGGTGCTTTTTTTACCCTGAGCTCAGGTTTAACTATGCAAGTTGCGGGTGCTGCTGCCTTTTTTAATGTATGAAGGGCTTCATCTCTCAGAGTTGGTGTTTCAGTGGATTTTTAAGGCCATGTAATTTTAATTTAAAAGCAAACATGGAATATGAACTATGTCAGTTGTTACCAAAGTGCTTTAGTAAGAGACACTTTGCAAAAGCTGGAGGGAGGGACTGATGAAATTAATTTGCTGTGCCTTTTGTCTTTGTTGTCTTGATTACCTGAGCCCTTGTTTTTCATAGGTTTGGAGAAGAAAGCATGGTTCGCATCATCAGATGGTTGGAAAAACAACAGATTCCCCTTGACAGCTCTGTACTTGACATTGGAACTGGAAACGGTGTTTTACTGATTGAATTGGTTGGTATATTGCAAATTTTGTGCTTTTGGTACAGAATCAGTGCTCCAAACACAGGAGTTTAACTACAGTTCTCACCAGTGACGATAGTAGCCATGGCAAGCTATAACTTCATGAAAGGCAAAAAGCCAGCAACCTCAATTAAAACTTATTTTGTGGTTTTTTCCTATGAACAGAACACTGGTTACTGTGCATCAGGTTTTATATTTCCATTTGGTTTAGAAATATAAGTGAAATTAACTCGGCCTTAAAGACCCTCTTGTCACAAAGACAAGGCATAACTACACGTGGCCACCAGGCAGGCTGTGGGACTTGGGTATGTCACTCCTTGCACCAGCAGTGCTGGCAGGGGGTTTTAAAAGTGACCTAACAACAGGGTGTGTGTGTTGTTCTACCAAATGGAAATAACTACTGTTTTGCTGGACATGCTCAAACTTCTACTTTTTTGGTGCTGCCCAGATTGTCAGTACTTCAGATTTTGAAATATACGGTATTTCTTTAAATCGGGCAGCCTGAATATCCTTTATTTTGACTTTACCTTTCTGTTTTCCTGTATTTAAAAATGCTTTTCTTCCCATTGTTATGTGAAACACGGAGAAGGAAACTGAGTAATACACTAAGTACTCTCGTGTACAAAACTGAACTCTTTCTCCATAATCAATTCTGATAATAATATGCATTATCAATGTAAAAACTGGTTTTAACCAAGTTTTTTCTGTAAATTGCTTAAAAAGGTGTTAACACTTCTTTTCAAGAAGTACCCATTTCTGTCAGGGTGAAAACCCCTTACCAGATGTGTTCTGAACTGTTACAGTTCAGTAACAGTTCAGTATCACTGTCTTTTCAAGAAGTACCCATTTCTGTCAGGGTGAAAACCCCTTACCAGATGTGTTCTGAACTGTTACAGTGGGGTTGTTAGACAGTGATACAAGGTGTTTAGGAGTAGTGGTATTTTTTTCCTGGTTTTGATTGAATACAGGAGAGTTGGTAAGGGAAGGAGCTATCATACTGTAGCAGTTTCTGTTGTTCTACATTCTCCACCGGCTCCATTAGTTACTGCAGAAATTGAAGGAGATGGAAGTCAAAGTCAGGTTTACAATGGAAATTTTTTTTACATGGATTTTGATTTTAGAAGAGTTTAAACCTTTATGGGGATTGGTGGTGATGCTGCAGCACAGGAGAAGGTGTCATCAAAAGTAGAAGTTGCTCATCTCATTAAGATAAATTAATTTTGAAGCCTAATAATGATGATTGTTAAATGCAATGCTAGCTTTTTCATTGTTGAAACATCGGACAGAAAAAACCTTATTTATAAGAGTTCCATTTTATACTGGCACCACTTACAAATCTGAAATGGATTTTCATTCTGTAATGGGAAAACAACAGGCTGTTAGCTTTTAAAAACTATTAAACTGCTGTAAGAGCACCCTGTAAGGGGTTACACTGAGCACACAAAGTACTGTGCTTGCTTTAATAGGAAATTTTCAGTCCGATTCCCATTTGAAAATTGACTTCAAAAATTACCTTGTTTATTGTTCCTAAATAATTCAGGATCTCACTTGCTAGGCTTTGAAAATAAGGTTAGGATTCTTTTGGCAAGCACACTGGCTGCTGTGGAACAGTTCTGCTGCTGGAGTTGGACTCGATAATGCGATGGAAATGGCAATGCTGAAAAAGGCAGGAAGATTTCAGTCATGTAGCACCTCTCTGAAAGGTGGCTACTTGAGGGTATGTATCAGACCCTCATCAGGACAAGAAGAGGTGCCATAGAGTACAGTTTGTTGGGGAATAGCTAGAGGCAAAACATCCAGCTTGCTGCTAAATGTCTTCTGCACACCCACAGCAGGGATCTGCCCATCTGTAAGCTCCAAGAGAAACACTGCTGGAGTCTTCCACTCTTCTCTCTGCCTGCTTTGAGGATCTCGGATACAGAAGTGGGACCTCTTGCTGGTTTTATACATGTAGTAGAGCATGGTCCTACCCCTGCTAACTTCTGGAGGCTGGTAGGCTGCATTAGTGACCTAATTCTTCTGCCTTCCAAAAATTTCTGCTCTTCTAAGGAAATGTTGCTGCCACATGGAGGAAGCTCTGACTTTTTTTTTTTTTTTTCCCTCTTTTTTTCTTCTCCTGAGTATTGTAGGAGCCAATGGTATTGAAAAACTTCTCTGAAGTGAAGGGTATTCACCACCCAAGCGTGGGTGTCTACCTGGCAGCACCACAAGCCCCAAAATCGGGCAGTGTTGATTGAGTTGCAGACACCTTTCTGCTATTTAATCTGCTTTTTCAAGAAGCAGCAGCAAAGTGCTTACAAATAGCACCTTCAGGACAGGGGTCCAGTTGCAGGACGCAGAATGGTCATGTTTGGCACTTGAGTGAATGATCCTTTCCTGTCCATACATAGTCAGGCCCTACAGGTTTAGCAGCATTTAATGTTGTTTATCCTTAAACTTTCCTTTTCTGCTCCGGAGATGATAGGAGTGAACGGGAACTCCCTGAAGTGACTCAAGCTCTTCTTTTCCAAACAGAGGAGCTGTTGTGGGAACTGCTTTTCCACCCCCAACTCTTCAGTGCAGGCATCTCAGGAAGCTTGCTTTGCTCTGGGGAGGGACGTGGGCAGAAGCCTGAGCAATACGCTGTTCTTCATCAAACACAAACAACACGGTCTTTGTGTTTAGCTGAAATTAGTCCTCAATTAAGAACAGCTGGCTGGTGCTGAGCTCACACGGGCTGAAGGGCTGCTGGAAGGACTGTCTTAAAAAAAATTCTCCTAGTTTTCCCTCACTGAGGAGGTATCAGCCTTTGCAAGAAGTAGATCTGCAGCTGATTGCTTAATGCTAGTTAAAATCTGTGTATTGTTGAAAACAAATCCAGGCCTCCTCCCTCTCTCTGCCTGCAGCTGGCCATAAGATCCTAGCTCTTCCTGTTGGGTTTGGATCTGGCCAAACCAACTGGCACACGTGATATCCAGATCTGGGTGCTTCAGCTTCTGCCTTGGAGGGAAAATGTCACCATCCCCTCCCAGGTGCCCAGCTCCAGGCGATTCAAAGTGGCCACCTGCTTTGCAAAAAGCTTTCTAGGCTCTCGCTGTGCTGAACTGGTTTATCTTTATCTGCTCCAAAGTGAGATTAATAGAAAACCTCTGTCTGCTCTTTTCCGTGGTGCACAACCTGCCTGAAAACTGCTGATACAAAGATCTTGTTGCGTGCAAATAATTGCATTCAACCGGACACCAGCGTGAATAATTGGAAAAATGTAAGGCTTTGCAGTGGATTTCTGTACTAATAAAATGTATTACATATTTTGGCTCTTACCATTTGGGTTATAAACCAAATAATTGCTCAATCTCAAATGTTGTGTAAGTGTCAGAGAGGTTTTCTTCTTATTTTGAAGCATCTGGCACTGGCACATGTTCTCATCACTGAAAATTCCTGGTTTCTAGGTTACATTTGGTGCAGATAAGAAAGCTTATTCCTCTCCAGGGTATTACTTTTCACAGTTCTACTCAGTTTTCCACTTGTTGACATAAACCAGCTTTCAGTCAACAGCTCTTTTGATGAGGTATTAGGCAGAATGGAGTTATTTCAGCTCATTCCCCCAGCTGTTTAGCTCTTGTAACAGTAACGGGAATAAAAGTGAGTAAAAGGTTGGGTTTTTTTTTCTGTCATTAAGAGGAGGAGAGGATGAGATGGATTATAGATAGGAAATACATTTGTTGGATAAAAAAAATTGCTAACACGCTGATTAAGATTCTTTGCTTTTGTCTAGGCAAAGTCTGGCTACACTGATCTCACTGGGATTGATTACTCCCCTTCTGCAATACAACTTTCAGAAAAAATAAGAGAGAAAGAAGGGATGTCTAACATTAAATTCAAGGTAAGTTTTGAGAGAGAGTTTATTGAGGAAATAGAAAGCAGCTGAACCCAAGATTAAATGACCTGATTGATACTCAGATGTGCTCAGTGTACTATATTAACGTTGTCTTTTGACACTCATTTGTGAGAGAATTCTAACCAAATAAATCTGTATTTACAAGAAGATTTTTTGGTCTATTTTCTTTTTCCTGTTGGTAACAGTCATTAGGGATAAAAATGTTTCCCTGCTTGTAGCAGGGAGCAGAGTAGTGGTTCACTGTTTGGCAAGCTCTGTGTTTTGGCTGCTACATTCTGAATTTCAGATTTGAGATAGGGGATGGAGTCCTGAAGTGATAGAATCCCTGCCAGCAGCTGCGCAGCAGGAAGTTTTTGGGAGGCCCTGCTGAGGCCGGGGGTGGGACCAGATGACCCCCAGAGGTCCCTTCCAACCTCAGCCACCCTGTGATTCTGGGACTGCCTTTTGTTCTGAGCTGTCTCTCTGCTCTGCTGTTTTCTCCTCCAGCTCTGTACCTGTACGAGGTCCCTGTTGTTGTGTGTCAATTGCAATCTCTTTGTGGCAGGCACTGTCTGTTCTGCATTCGTACAGTCCCTAGCACCCAGCACCTTGAAACCAGGGGTCACAGTACAAATAATGATTTAAAGAATGAACTTCAAGTGTGTTAGTTTGAGCCTTAGGTGGTTAGGTGTATACACAGGCTTTACAGCAAATAGATCATCACGTAATACATAAACAAGAAGGAAGCTGACTAAATGTGAAAAGCCTGTGAGTTACCCTTTCCTAAGCACAGCTATTATCAGGGTTGAGGCTTTTTATTTTAAAGTATTGCTTTGCATTAAAGATTCAGGAGCTCCTGGGTTGCTTTCACAGTTGTAGACTTCTGGTTTAGGTAGAAGACTTCCTGGCTCCATCAGCTGAGCTGTCAGGATTTGAGATTTGTATTGACAAGGGGACTTTTGATGCCATAAGCCTTAATCCCGATAACGCGGTGGGGAAGAGGAAGCAGTACGTGAGATCTCTCTGCAGTGCACTGAAACCAGAGGGCTTTTTCCTCATAACATCTTGCAACTGGACCAAGGAGGAGCTGCTGAACGAGTTCAGAGAAGGTAAGCAGTTGAGCAGAACCATCTGCCAATTTGTGGTTGTTTGGGGATGTGATGAGTAAATTCTGATGTCTGTGTTGGCATATTGACTTTCTCAGATCAGGATTAGACAAGGTAAAGTGACTAGTAAATGCTTCAGCCTGTCTTCTCCCTGTTTTCCTCAGGATTTAGAGTTTCTGTGTTAGTGCCAATGAGGCAAGGGAGGACAGGTTTTGTTGGAGTTTGGGGACGAGGATTTCAGTCTAGTTACCCTGGGAAAGGAGGGGGGTTCTGTACCAGGGTGATGCTTTTTCTCTTTTGATCCTTCCTAACCAGGTCCAGTTCACCCATCTTGATTGCTTTGAAATTGGGGTAACGTTGTTACCCATATTTAGGGGAACTGGGAAGTCTGTGACCTTCTATGTCACCTCCCCAGTGACCTTTCTCAGCCACTGGAAAAGGTGTTTTTTACATGCTGGTCAGCTCTTGAGTCTCATGCCTGAGGCTTGAAACTCAGCGTGGATCTAAAACAACCGTCCCTTCTGGAGAGCTAAAATTACTGGCAAGTTATCATCTTTTCTGCCATTAATTTGTGTGAGTCAGCCAGCTAAGATTTTTATTACCCACGGAAGGGTTTCAGCTGTATAAAGCAGCAGTGCAGTGTAACAATACAGTCCTATAAACTTACAGAATAACTGACTTGCAAGTTTTCCATACAAATAAAGAATGGTTTGCAAAGGGTTATCCGAGAGGAGAATAAAATGACTTCCTTCTAATAAAAGCATTTTAATTTCTGTCTGGCAGGATTTGAAATTCTGGAGGAGCTGCCAACACCCAAGTTTTGCTTTGGAGGAAGAATTGGAAACAGTGTAACAGCATTGGTTTTCCAAAGGAAAAAATTGAGGCCATCCATCTTGGACAAATTAGATTAGTTGAGAAAAGTCTGAACTTTAAACCTGACAGAAAACCTCAGACACGTGTGTAAATAAATGCTGTTTGAGTGCACAGTAAAATACTGTGTATGGAACTCTAAGGGACTATAAAACATTGCCCTAGAAACAGTTCAGCTTTGCATAACTTGCCCGTAAATTTTGTCCTTGCTGCAACCTCACTTGTTTAAGGGAAACTGCAAGTTTGTGAGAGAGAGAAATACAACGAGTATTTGTGTTTGGAACATAAAGATTATCTGGTATTTAATTTTTGTATTGGTAATTGGTGAGCAATAGAGGTAAAGGTATTCTACAAAGCAAAAATCTCATTTCTCTGTTGTGCTGTGTAATAGGGAACAAGCTTTTTGAATCTATGCTGGATCTTTAATTTTTTTTACATGAATGTAGCTGTTAAGGAGGGAAATGAATACAAAAGCTGCAGCACTTGCAAAAAATGACCAGTTAGTGCTTTAAATTCAGGCTTTCAGAGGGTCTCACATTCAGTGATGTCCTGTCTCCACTGCAATGGCTCAACCCTTTTCCCACAGAAGGAGGCTGTGGAGTGGTTTTGAAATTCTCACTTGCCTGAGTGTGTATGTGCTTTGTCAGTTATTTCCACCGATGCCATAAATATATAAAGGTGCAATGTTACAATCTCACTGGCATGTGAAATGTGCCTCTCATTATTAATTTGCTCTTAATGTCTTAAGAGCCAACAATGACTGTATGTTTTCCAGTGAATTTCTTAAGACAGATTTTAGCTGCATAAATCCGTAAGAATTCAAAGCAGAAATATCCATTCTTTCTTTTTTTTTTAATTAAACTTGAGTGGGTTTTTCTTAATTTCTTTGCCTTTATTTCTTCTGTTTTGTATTTTCGGAATACTACTATTGTTTGAAAGGTAGGAAAATGAGTTATCTTTAGGCCTGGAAAAACGGATGACAATTAACTTGTTCTTTCAAACATCAAGGGGGCCCTATCAGGCAATCAGGTTTTGTTTCATGGACAAGGTCATGTTTGCTTATCAGGGAATTGCTTCTCCTAGTTTCCAGACTTCTCCTAGTTCCCAGGGTTCAGGAGATCTTTAAGGCTCAATAAATACTTCTAGTCCTTTCCCAGGATAGGAAATAAGGCATTATTTGCACAGTGGTGAGTTGTCCCATCGCCATCCCTGGCATTGTCTTTGAGGCAGGAACCCTAAATTACTCTATTCTCTTTATAAAATGGGATATACTGGTTCTGTTGGAAGAATGCTCTATCACCAGTGGTAAGAAGGTTTAGTCCCAGTGAATAGCTCTTTGCATATTTGGTCAGGTTTGGGTTCCAAAGTGCCAAAACTTGAGTGAGTGTCTTCTTGTCATTTGGGTCACGTCATCGGGTTCCCAGCAGCCAACAGGGTGCTATGGAATGGAAGTAGTAATTCAGATGGGTTTTTTTTTTTTGACGGAATAGTACAAAGGATTCAAAGTACGCTACTGATAACAGCCTCAATAAAAAGACTGTGACGTTTTTATAGCCAAATTGGCATCAGGTAGAGTTAATACAAGCAAATTTGAATTGGCAAGTGCTCTGGCAGGATGTGTTTAGGGCATCTGCGTTATTCCCATCTGTAGTTTTTGCTAATGAAGGCACGATACATATTTAATCATGGAATGAAAATAAAGTCATGACTGTTGTGGATTTTCTTTTAATCAATTTGAAGAAATCTAACTATAGATTCATACTCCGTACAATACCTAAGGTTCAGGGCAAGTATTGTTTCCTTCTCTTTGTAGGATTTATTATTATTAGATTTTGTTCTCTAGGTAATATTTTTATATCACTTGTAAAGCTAAAAATAAGCTCCCTAAAATGGTCACACAGAAATTTTAGCATCAGAAGTCATGTATCTGTGTCATGCAAGTTGTATGATCAACCACTTTCAGTTAGTATTTTTAGCAAGGCATTTGGAAGCAATGATCATAATTCCCTGTTTTCTCTTGCAATCATATTGTTGTTTTTCAAATGTTCTGGAAAACTATGGTATTTCTTTTTGTAATTATTTCCTCCCATATGAATAAGTTTTCCAGCAGGGAGGCTTCTTAGTGGTGGGGAAAGGCTGAGAACCAGTCTCTTCTTCCATCCTACCTCATTTTTGCCCAAGTTCTTGTATTTTTGAGGGCTTTGAGCATTTCCCTACCACTTCTGGGCTATGTATAACTCCAGAGACATCAAGCCTTCAGAGACAGCATGTGGTTCCTCTGCTTTACCTTTGGCATCGTGGGATCCAGTCATAAGGTAGAGATACACAAACTAATGTCACCCCTAAAACGTCATCCTGCTGCCTGAGGGTGTCACGGACCTGTTAGGAGCCTTAAAGGCTGGTTTTCTGAAGGTGTCTGGGACAGGAATGTGTTTTTCCCATGGACAAGGGTCAGGCCTTTCTCCGTAGGCATTTGTCTTCATGTCTCTGTGTGGTTCTGGGGCAGAATTCATGTGTCCCTCTGCTTCTCAGGTCCAGATACAAGTTTTCTAGTAATATGCTCAAGAAAGCTGAAAAGAAAGAGCCTGGGATAGGTGTCTTTACAGGGAGGAGGGGTGGGGAGTGGAGAAATTGAGTGGCCCTCACAAGTGGAAAGGTTTTGATTCCTAAATTTGTCGTGGCCCCGTTTTAGTCTCGAATGAGCACACACAAGCTGTTGCTTGGCACCTAATTTCTGCATCTGATCTGTAGCCCACAGGTTCTTCAACAGGCCCAAGCACTTTCGAGTATCACCGGAGAGTAGAACAATGCTTGTAAAACATGTTTGAGGAGATTTATTTTATGGCAGTAATAACCAAAGGCTTACTATTTGAAATCTGCTCTTGGAAACCTGGTATTTTTTGAATAATGGAGTCCAGGTAGTGGCTCTGATACTGACTGAAACAACGGCTTTTCACTGAGGAGTGGGATTTGGGAATGACATGTCAAAGAACGTCCTTGATTTGGGGCAGTTCATCTTGCTTGATGGTTCTTCGTGAAAGTATGATCTCTAAATGTTGATGCTTTTTGGTGAAAAACTTCTTAAAAAGAAAGAAGAGGTTGGGGAATGAGGAATGAGTTCGCTTGGTGGCTTGGGGAGTGCTTCGTGGTGGTAGTTCCTGAAGGCTGGTGTCTTCCTGACTACACAGTTGTGTGACTCTTGGTTTCAGCTGCAACGCCAGGAGAATAAATGCATTTTAAATACATTCTGCTCCTATTGTTTAGCTATCCGAGGACTGTATATGTGATTTTACTGTCAAATTTGAGGTTTGTAAAACTAACGTCGTCCCCGGATCTCGGCAGCAGATGAGCCCACAGACTTTTCCTGCAGTGCCGAGTTGAGGCTGGATGCTGCTGTGGAGCTGGCAAACCTTTCTGGATCTGAGTACGGTTTTGCATAAAATGTAAGCAAAACAGAAAGGGTTTATGTTCCCTTGTTGATTGACACTGTGCTGGAGGATGAAATTCTCTGTGTGCCAGTGGGCTTTGTGTCGGGCTTCGGGAGCCAGTTGCCAAACTCAATGAGATGCCTGGGAAGACTGGAAAGGAAAGGGAGGTGATAGCCAGTGTTCTCCAGGGGGATCCAGAGCCTTGATGTGAAGTCTCTCCCTTTCTTCTGAAGCAATTAAACCTCAAGACTGGGATGCAAGCTAGATTTCATCTTCTAAGTGAGGTGTTTTCAGCAGTAGAATGTGAAACTCCAGTGATACCTGAACTGCTGGGAACTGGTGGTAGGGAGCTGGGCTGCATGGATCCTGGTGGGCTCTCTCTGTGACCTTTTCTTCCAGGAAGATGGAGGATGGCTTTTAGTACATAAGCACTAAAAAACAGCACCTCCACCAACATTTGTGTTTGGTGCAGCTCAGATATCCCCTACGTGACTCCTGATTCCTGCTGTTGCCAAGCAAACTGCAGTGAGGGATTCTCTTTTGAGGCATTTACCGGGTGAGGCCATTGAATTTGTTGTGGGGCTTCTACTACTGAAAGAGCTTGGAGCGTTTTACCCTGTTTTTTTGGGGGGGTGTATCAGGGGAGTGAACTGTCAGGGTGAAATGTCTGAAAGAGGAGAACAGAAATTGATTAAATAAATATCGATTTGAGATCTAGGGGAGTTTCTACACATGGGACTTAGCTAGAGTCCCACAGGTTCTCAGGACAAAAAGCCTTTGCCCCGGCAGCATCACAGTACTTTCTTGAAGTAAATACTTCTATAGTCATGTTTACATAAATGGAAAAGGGAGAAATACCAGACAGGAAAATCCTGAGACAACTGAATGAACACAGAGAATTCAGAGGGCAAGATAACGTTGCCTTACTCCTCGACTTCCCTCTTGGTGACCAACTTGTTATTTATAAGAAAGGATGTTCATTTAATGGTCCTGAAGGAGCAGAAATAGTCAACTGCATTGCTGTCTGTGGGCCTTTTTTCAAATGTTAATTTTTTTTGGAAGACATAGGAGATATGGAATTAATAATCTGTTCTTGAACTTCAGTATAATTCTGTGGTCTAAAACAAAGAGTTTCTGGGAGCTACAATTGTTTGAAGAGCTGTCGGGTTCTATCAGAAACACTAACAGAACTATGGCAGCTGCTCTTCCAGACGGGGGAGCAATGATGAAGCTTGTAATTACAGGCTTTCTGTCCTGTCAGGAGAGTATTTCTTCAAATGGTTATCGAGAGCATCAGGTTGAAGTAACTGTTTGCATTATGGGCTCACCCTCTCGGTTTCAAAACCAACGTTGAGGCACCATTTCTGAAAACCAGGAAGGGCCAACTGCCTCAATTGTATCATAGGATTTGGGGTGTTTGACATCTGTAGTGACAGGAGGCTCTCAGCTATTTTAAATTTCTATTTTTCAAAACAATTTTAGAAAGGAGCTTTCAGATGTTTGGGTTTTTAATCCTGCCCCTGCTCTCCAGGCCAGCAGGTTATACCTGAGTTAAGGATCCGTCCCATCACACGGGTCTCAGGGGTGAGCCTCAGGAGAGCAAATAAAAGGCACAATAATTAGTGGTGTGAGCAGACGGCCCCACACCTTCAGAGTAATAACAAGGGGTTTTCAAAGACTGCCCACAGGATACCAACATGGAATCTGTGCCTGCAATTCGGAATTTGAGGTAGAGAACTGGGGTGCTCTCAGAGGTTGGGCTGATGTCTTCAGAGGGTTTGCATTATCCCTGTCTTGGAGCAATGAAAGAGATTCTTGTCTCGGGGAATGCGTCTGTGGCTAGAAATGGAGATGTTCTCTCATTTAATTTGCATCCAAATGACTTCAGTTCTGTGCAGGTTTCTGGTGCGGGCCGTGAGGTGTGTGGGGCCGAAGGGCCAAAGGTCTGAGTGGGGAAAAGAGGTGATGAACTGGAAATCCTCATGTAAAACAACTTGGGCTTTGTGTCCAGCTGTGACACAAAGCCACGTGTGGCTTAGATAGAGAGCTGTGAAGCTACCAAACCGGGCTGACACTCATCCTGGCAGCTTCTTTGGAGTTATTTTTATGTAGGGGTGAGTTCTTGAATAGCTTTCCCGATCCATGAGGCACAGCAAGCTTTTCTTCATCGCCGGCACCGGCTTCCATGTATTTCCACGTTCCAGGAATGCACTGGCAGCTCTGTGGCCATTGTAAGGAAAATCTGCGTGTGTATACTCTGCTATGTCCGCTCCGCTGTGTTCCAGGGTGCCTGGGAAAAGGCTGCCAAAATTCATGTTATTTCATACCAGACAGAAATCTTTAAGTATGGTATTTAGCAACATACAGCAAAATTTTCAGTGTTTTGGCACCCGGGTTGCTTTCCCAATCTTGGCATGCCGAAAAGTCAAGAGCACGACTTGCTACAACAATAACTGCTTTATTTTATAGGCCCTCGAAGCATTTTAACGTATCGAATCGTCTCCTGTAAAATATGTGGAGAGCACATAGAAAATAAACGGGCCAGGGCTTTGTGCTGCCATGAGTAGACCTGCCTTTGCGTTCCCATCGCTCGCTGCCTTTTTTGGGGGGGTAAAGAGCTTTTTTGGGGAAGGTTGTGATGCACAGAGTGCCTGCGGGGAGGACGGCTCCATCGGCTGGAAGTGCGTTGAGCGTAATCTAACCCTTTGTGGGCAGCAGCTAAATTGAGGAACAATTAATGGATACCGAGGGCTTTCGGTGAAAGGGGATGAAGTGTTATAGCCTGGAGACAAAAGGCGAACAAAGGAACGCTGCTGGCGTGTTTTATTTGACACAAATAAGGGAAAAGCCAACCTGTGGCTTAATTTCCATTCGTTAGGTAACAGTGTGGCTTGAAACTTTCATTTCCAGCTTGCTGGAAATTAAACTTGAGTGCTGTCAGGCAAACAAACGGTGTAGCCGCCAGGTAGCATATAAATTGTGGATAATCACAAGTGCATGAACCCCTGCTGGAAAGCCAGAGCTCGTAAACACGAGCGAGGGAACAGGAACGAACCTCAGCACAGTCACTCCAGCAGCCAACTATTCATGGGCAGCGTCACGAGTCAAGCAGGGGTGGGGAGAATGTGCATTTATGGAGTGATTTGAAGTGTTGCTGGGGTTGTGGACTGAAGCCCCTCGTTAGCAGCACAGAGACATGGAGGCACGGCGTGATAAGCCTGCCTCCCCCCTCAGACACCCACCAAGAAAGGAGAAAGGGCAGGCTGAAGGTTCCTCAGTTAGATTTTATT